CAGGCAAGTTGAAGAGGTTCATAGCCTGTCATGGGCAGGCAGGGTGTCGGTGTGGGTGTAATTGTGTGTTTGTTTCTTTTCATCCACACCCACACCCAAATAGAATCTCGCAATCTGATTGGTCAATTTTTCAACCAATCAGATTTCAAGAGGCTTTTTTTTTCTTATTACCAGCAGTGGCATAAACAAGGGAGAGGCAAATGGGCAATTACCCATTTCATTTGGAGACTTGTCCATTGAAATTTTACTTTTTCAGAATTGTTTATTTATTTTTGAATTAGATAGCAACTGTACTTTTGTTTTTCTTCCATCTGAATCACATCTGCTCTCTTTGTTTGTTCTTTCTGTGAAGAATGAAGAAAAATAGAAGAAAAGAATCGATTCTTGCATTTTAACTAAGTTTGGGTGAATGTGAGTTTGGTTTTATGGGGAAAATACTAACCCCATAAAGGTAGAGACGGATAGATCAAAGAGAAGAGAAACAAGAGTACAAAGCAGAGAACACACACGAACATATCCATGTGAAGATATATATGAGTGAATTGCAACTTTATTGTACCGTTCGTAGTTCCATATGTAAAACTTTAATAACTTCAGTTCCTCTTGGCCAATCTCTATGAAAATTTCGGAGTATGCTGCCGTAGTTGATGCTCACTACTACACAAAAAAATCACGAATTTATCATTAGCCTATCCCGAGATACTGCATACACAAGGTTAAAATGGCTGATTTCTACTGTCACCTATGGACAGAAAATGACCCATCACTAATTGGTTTCTTGTCATTTGAATTTTGACAGTTGTTGACATTTACAGTGGACAGTGTATACATCATGGATATGAGACTGGCTAGTTCTTTCATCGCAGTTTATGTTATATTTTTTTTCGAATATCAGATGTACCGTCAATGCTCAATATGGTGTCACACGAGATTTAAAAACGCCTTTGCTATATAACAAAGCATTCAAAATTCGTCGGATTGGTTTTGAATGAAAGCTTATCAGTGGGGAATAAAACTACCAAAGACGATTCGAAAGTTTTACTTATTCTTATTAAAAAAGGGGCATTAAATAAAATTTGAAAATATAGTTGTCACACTAAATGTCACACGAGATTTCATACTTTGTGTGTCGTATTAACTCTTGTAAATTAGGGCATATTGAGCTGAAATTTTTATCATTTTATCTGCTAGTTGTGGTTAGATATTGCTGAAAATATCACGGTTAGAAAATGTTCCTTTCGCATAATAGAGAGGAAAATAGTGTAAAAATGTCACACGAGATTTTTGAAAAAACTGTCAGATCAGATTTTTATGCAGATAATTATCTCGTAAGTATGATTAAAGCGAATAAATGCCATATTTCTAGCTTTCATGTTTAAGTGGCTATCACGACTCATACGAACTAACTCTATTTCATTTCTCACAGGTTAATAAAATTGCGGTAAAAGAGCATAATTTGTACTTGTCACTGCTTTGAAAACTTAATAGTATAAATTTTGAAAACAAAAATGTAATTTAGAATAAATTAACATATTTTAGCTGCTAGTTCTAGATAAACCATGGTTTCTCATGTCAAGAAAAAGCGTCAGGATTATGATCTGAAGTACTATCAAAAATTACAATACAAACGTTCTAAATCGAAATCATTTAATTCTGAATATATTCAAAAACAGAATGCTAGGCAACAAAAATGTAGACGACTAAAGAAGGCAACACAACAAACACCAACAAATGCTACTGAATCAATAACGACTGCTACTGAAGCACTATCAAATGCAACTGAACCACCAACTGTCAGGACAATCTTACGAAAAGCTGAAGGTGTTCGACATCGTCGAGCCTATACAAGAAAAATGAAAAATGAAAAGGAAAAATTATCTAATGAAATAAAAGTATTACGTAAAGAAAATTCGAAGTTGAAGAAAATTTTGTCCAAACAGCACTCAGGAGATATTGAAACAAATGATGTAACATCAGCCGTATCACCAACAAAATTATTTATTAATAGTATTAGTCCACGAGCAAAAAAACGTGCAACTAAACGATTACTTAATAAAAAAATCTACCTCGTGGTTCTATTTCAAAATTGAGACAAAAATTAGGTGTAAATTTATCTAACAATTATAATGCACCATCCAGTACACCATAAACACTCCAGAAAGATATAGAAGAATTTTTACGTCAAGATGATATTACTAAACAAGCACCTGATAAAAAGAAACAATTACATGGAAAACAGATTAGATACATGTTAAATCATTTATCGACTATTCATCAACGATTTATATCCGAAACTGGTAATAATTGTCATTATTCCACATTTACACGTTATGTGCCTGATTATGTGGTGAAGCCAAGTGCTGATGAGTGGGGTACTTGTTTATGTGTTACTTGTCTTAATCCACAAATGAAGCTTGAAAAGTTACAACGTATAAAATCTCTATATTCAGTTCTCAAGACACTACTTCTTGATGGTTTAACGGATATAACAGATTTGGTTACAGATGAAATCAAAACAAAAGATTTTTTAGATAATTTGGTTAAACTTAAAGATGAACAATTTAATATTACATATACTGAATGGATAAAGAAAAAATATGATAAATCTAATGTACCTGTGTCAACAAAAACGACATTTACATCATCTATTGTTGATTTTATAACAAAATTTATAAATGAAATCAATGTATGTACATAGAGTTTGATCATAAATATTATTAGCAGTATGATGAGATTTTAAGTACTGTATGTATTTCGTGTTGTGCGAGCGAAACTCTAGGATGGAGAGAACCATATATATTTTTTTATTCTACAGTGATAAGCAATAATTTTTCCCTCGACTGAAGGGAGGGTGATACGGAAAAAACTCAAAAAGGGTTTGTGTGTTTGTCGGGGTCAAAGGTCAAAGGTCAAAAAAACACCAGAGGTAAAGTTCATTTCGCCGCAACTTCTAAAGCTTCACCAAAGGTAATTCAGGTCGGGAAATCCGAACCGTAGGCCCAGTTTTACATCCGGCCATCCCATTGGGTAAAAAGCCGACCAATCAGAAATCAGCTTTTTTATTTTAAGCTTTTTGGGCCTTTTGATGAAACTTTACTGTAGGTTATCGAGGGCCAGGATTCTGAATCTGAGGTCGGATTTTATATCTGACCTTCTCATTGGCTAGAAAGCCGACCAATCAGAAATCAGCTTTTTGGGTCTTTTGATGAAACTTTACTATAGGTTATCGATGGCCAGGATTTCGAATCAGAGATCGGATTTTATATCTGACCTTCCCATTAGCTAGAAAGCCGACCAATCAGAAATGAGCTTTTTTGTTATAAGCTTTTTGGGTCTTGTGATGAAACTTTACTATAGGTTATCGAGAGCCAGGATTCCGAATCTGAGATCGGATTTTATATCCGACCTTCCCATTAGCTAGAAAGCCGACCAATCAGAAATCAGCTTTTTTATTTTAAGCTTTTTGGGCCTTTTAATGAAACTTTACTGTAGGTTATCGAGGGCCAACATTCCGAATCTGAGGTCGAATTTTATATCTGTCCTTACCATTGGCTAGAAAGCCGATCAATCAGAGATGAACTTTGTCATCTTAAGTCTTTTGCCAGTTTTGATGAAACTTTACTATAGGTCATCGAGAGCTAGGATTCCGAATCTGAGGTGGAATTTTACATCCGGTCTTCACGTTGGCTAGGAGGGCGGCCAATTAGAAATGAGCGTTTTTATTTTAAGCTCTTTGAGCGTTTTGATGAAACTTTATTATAGGTAATCGATGGCCAGGTTTCTGAATCTAAGATCGGATTTTACATGTTAAAAAGGTTGATGAAAGCAAATCAGAATCTGAAATCGGTTTTTCAAAATTTTCAAGTTGATTTTTTTTTTAGTCAGGAGTTGTGCTTTTTGTGAAAATAACGATTTTTCATAAGGCTTAGCCGAGGGTAACCGAGGTCGGGAAAGCTTAATCTGAAGTCAATTCTTCAAAATTTTGAGTTTGATTTTTTCGGTCAAAGAAAGGCTTTTTCAAGAAAATAACGAAATTTTAGAAAATTCAGCGAGCCTAAGTCGGCGTCAGGGCATTCAAATCTTCACTATATTGCTGGAAGTTTACCGCTATAATTTTACAATCAGGGTAAGGTTTTTTTAAGGAAACAATGAGTTTTTATTGCATTGAACATTGAGTGGTATGAAATAAAATGAGCTTGTGATCTGGCAGTGATTGGGAGAGTAACGTTTTCAGATGTGTTAGCAGGATTACAGGGTCGACTATCTCACTAGCGTAAACTATATCTGAATTTTTTCCACAGTGTGGGTATGAGGTGTAGATGTAAGGTAGAACAAGATCAACCCGCTCAGGCGCATACTTACACCGATACCGACACCGACACCACAAGGTATTCCTAATATCCAAATTCAAGTTTAAGTCAATGCCACATGATTGGCATCTAAGCCTGCTCGTATTGCGTTTTTTTCTGACTTACTATTCCATTATTCGCATTTGCTTTTCAGCAGACGGTCCGACTCATGGAATTTCTTGCCACTATGACTGGAAGAAAATGATATAAACAAATATATAAAAATGATGTCACGTGTTTTTACGATTAAACGAGAGTAACTAGCTTTTGTTCAGGTACGTTCAAATAATGGAGTGGCTAGCCGTGAGTGGCGCCCCGAAGGGGCGCCGACGAAAGACTAGTCGCTCCTATCTCAGGTTCACTGTTTATTCGCCTTAGAAATGATATCTATAAACGCTAGGTGTTTTTGGAGAATACTTTACTAAGGTTCTCTTAGTGAGGAATTTAAGTGAACCTCTGATTGACTAGCTAGGCAATGAAATTAAAGCCATAAGGAATAGTTCGTAACAAAGTTTCGGCTTTGAAATTTCTCATGAAGAATTCTCGTGTTATAACTCCAACGATTTTTGGAACTGCTATAGTGTGATCAGTGATATATGGTATTTTCCTTTTTCTTCTTTCTTCTGCTCTCCTATCGTGTGTAGATGACACGTACGATACACATATATATCTTTTCTTCTTTTCTTTCCTTCTCTTCTCTTAATATAGTATAGATGTTTTCCATCGCATCATGTATTCTTTCAAGTGTGCTTAGATTTTTTCCTAGTTCATCCATCTATGTATAATCGTCGTTTCGAGAAATAAAAGAATGTGTGATTATTATTATCGATCAGTTGGATCGAAACTACCGGCTAACAGGAACTAAGCGAAATCTAGAATCTGAAAGGATGTAAATCAAAGAGAATGGTCTCGTACTGGAATAGAATTCAGCATAATACCGACTAGTCAAGAATGACGCCTCAAAGGGACGCCTATGAGTGACTAGCTGCTGCCCTGTGAAATTCCCTAAAGGTATACTTTAGATTGTTGCAATCCGTCAAAAAAATATCTACAGTGAAGATCTGGCAGGTTCAATAGAAACCAGAACTGGCAAAAAAGACTAAGAAATGTTTTCGAATGAAATGTGAGAACAGTTGTGCTGCACGTGCACAGTATTTGAATAGAACATTCGACGAAAAATATCATGTAAAGAATTCAGTTCTGTCCATTCAAAGTGGATTTCAATGAAATAAAATAAGCTTTTCTGTCATTATGGGTCCATATCTGTGTGCATTTAGTCGTCTAAATTTATTCGAGTACTTTGAAATTATCTGTCCAATCCGATGACTACTTTGAGTACGAGCGTCATTCAAGTGGCGTATTTCGAGAATAAGTCTGACTAAATATAGTTTATTTTAATCTAAAAGTTCAGCTATATACGTGTTTTTTTAGTGGACGCTAACAAATGATATTGTCGGTTGATGTACTGGTGACTATACGGGTTTTTATTTGTTTTCAAGAAGTATGATGGGTTTTCACGCTAGTGTCGTGGATGTGCTTTCTTTCTTGATTGTCTCTCTGTATATTAGATGTAGTCTCTTTTCTCGGGGCATGTGGATACTGCTGCCTTAGTGTTATTCATCTAGATTTCCGTTGGATATCAGTGAAACCGTCTCAGTTTCGTTGGATGAATTTAGAAGAAAACGTATCACAGACATACACATGTCATTGTATAGAAGAATATTGATACGAATGTCAATATTCACATTCACATGAACCATTTTCAAACTTTTGATACTAGCTGTGTTGAGGACTGCGAAGCAGTATACAATACCGAAACAGCTGAATATTCAGTCGAGGGTCAAGCGAGTCCCATGGACGAGCGTTACTTGTTTTTATCATGTTTAGGATTTAATACCACATATTGACCGTGTACGTCAATAATTTCGAGCTTCAAAACAAGCAAGACAAGCGGCTATGGAACAGGAAGATACAATTACAATACATTTGGATTGGTCCGAAAACTTCAAATTGAAACAAGCACGACAAGAAAAAGGTGAGTGATTGATTACCCGATTCCAATCTTAAAGCTTAGATGCTCTTATTATCAGAATGGAATCGTGTTCTGTTGGTTGTATTGCATGTTTTACTGCTTTAAAGATTTTGTTTAAACTAAAGCAATAACATTTCTTTTAGCGTCGTACTATTACGAACAGCACATATCAATCTTAAGTGGTCATTTGTGGAAGAAAAATGATTGTTTTAGTTTTGGTTCAATATCTGATGATACTAATCACATGTCTGAAGCCACTTGGGCTGCAATACAACATTTATAACACACTATTACATTCGTACTCGAGAGCTAGCTTATTTTTTATAACACAACTATATATACCACTGCAAATGCAGTTCTTTCTGCGTATGACCTGAAGTTCTTTAAATATATTTGAGTAAATTCATAGTTTCACGAGCTTCTAATTTATATGAAAAAACTCACGTTTGTGGACATTTTATATATTTTGAAAAACTGCTGTAGCTCAGCCAATTTAAGAGTGGTAGTGTGGAAATTTTATACATATTCTCCTCTCATCTAGTACACTAAAATGCACGACTCATAACCCCTAAAATCGAAAATTTTTTTTTCGTCCGTTTTTTTCTCGAACGGTACAATAAAGTTGCAATTCACTCATATATATATTGGCGTGTTCAGTTGACATGATACCCCATTGATATTTTTTTCTATTGTGAGGATAAAACATACTATTGTTCGGGTCATATGAGAGAGGGTCATAGATAACCCTAGATTGACCCGAATAATACCATGTT